ACCCCACAGGTGGCTGGTGGGGGTGGGCAGAGCTGCCAGCCGTGCTGTGACCAGCAGCCTGGCATTCGGAAAGCCCAGGGCAGAAGCACTGCTGGGGCGGGCGGCTCCGATCCTGCCCGGGCTGGGGGTGGATTGAGGAAGTACCAGGGAAGCCCCTGGAGCGGGGTTGGGCACAGAAAGTCCCTGAGTCCCCACAGCTGGACAGACAATGGGGCAGCAGTGCCAGCCCCCCCGGGAAATCCCCCCCAAGCGCAGGTTGGGGAGGGGGAGGGAGCCCAGCTCACCTGGGAGATCTCCAGGCAGGGCAGCTTGCCCACCTGGGCGCCGGTGAAGCCGTAGACCGAGTTGGCGCTGACCTTGAGCGCCAGCTGCCGCCCATCCAGCACCTGCCGTGTGAAGGGGTCGGTCTCCCGCTGCAGCTCTGCCTTGGCCCTGTGCCCAGGGAGGGGTTAATGCCATCAGCACGGGGGGGGCGCCCATCCCAAGTCCCCGCGACCCCGTGTTTCCCACCCCCACGCAGCTCCCGTCCCTCCCTCAGACCCCGCCCGGCCGCCTTCCCAACACCTCCTGCACCCTCCCCCCAGCTGCGAGGGGGGCTCAGACCCCCCCACTCCACTCGGGGCCCCCCGTACCTCTTGCGGGCGGCCAGCAGGTTCTCCAGGATCTCAGGGAGCAGCCCCTTGCGCACGGAGGCCTTGACGAAGAGGTCGCCCGTGGGGGTGCGGATGAACTCCTCGGGGGACAGCCTGGAGGGGGGATGGCAGGGGGGGCTCAGGGACACCCCTGGAGCCCCCCCACTGTCCCTTCCCCCCACAGAAGGGCCACACTTAACCCCAGCCCAGACACTGCCTGGGGGGCAACTCCAGCTCTGCTTTGTCCCAGCCCTCCAGAGCTGGTGTGGGAGGGGGTCTCCATCTCCGCCCTGCTCCCCCTCCCCCTGGGGCACAGCCCCTCCCCCCATGTAGCATAGGGCCCCCCACTTCCCCTGCCCCATTCCCCTCTCCACCTCCCCCATGTAGCATAGGGCCCCCCACTTCCCCTGCCCCAGTCCCATTCCCCTCCCCACCTCCCCCATGTAGCACAGGGACCCCACTTCCCCTGCCCCTCACGGCCCAGCCCCCTGCATCTCCCCCACCCCCCCTGCAGCCCAGCCCCTTTCCCCTCCCTCCCCAGTGTAGCATAGGGCACCCCACAGCCCAGACCCCTCCACTTCCCCCGCCACCCACCCCCTTCCCCTCCCCACATCCCCCATGTAGCACAGGGACCCATTTCCCCTGCCCCAGAGCCCTCTGTCTCCCCCACCCCAGGGCCCCAGCCCCCTCACCCGTAGCGCTCCGGCGCCCCCTGCTGCAGCAGTGTGGTGTAGCACAGGTTGTGAGCCATCATGA